CTTAGAAAGAGTGACAGGAATCTTCCTTTTGGCATGGACACGTCAATTCTGACTCCTTGTTTTGACTTAACCACAGAAATTGTGCATGTCTTGCTCGTTTGAGAGCTGGACTGCTGCACCCTTTACTTCTACTCCCTTTTTGGATTCCTGGAGAACAGCAATGCTGAAATCAAGGACAGGTAGCAGTAGCAAATTTTGATGATCCTGTCTTAGGCAACGAAACATAAGAACAAGAAGTTTGTGGAATATCCACAGAGCAGTTCTGAAGAAATTCAAATTTTCTGAGAAATTATGAATTAAATTTTGAGGCCTGCTTACAAGAAAAGCTGTTTTTTAACCTAAAACCAGCTTAACAAGCTCTTTGCTGGTTTTATAGATTAATGTTTTAGGATTAGGGAGAAAGTTGCAGAAGGAAGATATTTTCCTTCTAAAAAAATAGGTAGTACTGAATCATCCAGCAATATTTGATCAAGACATTTAAAAACTCTCCTTTAGGAAGAGTTTTCTGGGTGAACATATTTTGTTTAATGTTACTTTTCATCTCATCTCACTTTCTTCTCTTTGTAGCTTAGGGAGGTATTTTTCAACATGATGTCTCAGTGTTTCCTCTTTGATCCTGAGTGTGCTACAAGCCTGTTTCAGGTTCAAGGGGGCTGCATCTGGATTTCCCATTTCTGACTCTAGTAAGAAGCATTGGATGAGTGAATTTATTGAGCTTTCCTCTAGCAATGCCACAAACACTCCTTGGTGTGGCTTCTTTTCACCAGCCTGTAGTCCTGATGAGTTACCCAACGTTTGCCACGTGCTGCTCATCTCCTTTCTGAACAGAAAATGAGGATTCCAGAGAGCTGTTGGGAAGCTGTGAAGAATACCAAGGGGATACAACTCTCTCACAGCCCCTTTTCTGCAAGGCTGCAGAGATGATTGTGTGTGTATATTTCAGCCTTTCTGCTTTTAAAGACCTTTACTGTGGCTACTGAAACATCGTTGCAGAAGCATCTTGGGGTTTACAATAAGAAGTGTAACTGTCATAAGCTTTTTGACAGCAGTGCAATTTCTTTGTTTCCTAAATATTCCTTTATTTCAGAGAAATGGCAAAGGAGAGCGTATTTCAGGATCTCCTGGAAATCCTGAGGAGCACCTCAAGTGAGATTGAGCAGGCCTGTGAGGGCTCCTGTGAACTGGTGGATCTCAGCTCCTGCCTGCTGCTCGTAGCAGAGTGCTACAGGTGCCTGAGGAATGCCTGCATTGAGTGTGCCAAAAATCAACGTGCCATCAGGTACAGCTAGGATCCACTTGAACTCCTTCAAAAATATAACCACCTGATGTTTGTGTGCCTTTGTGCAGAGATTCTTCTTTTACACTGCTGTGTTTGCTGATTTATTAACAGGTATTTCCTGCTTGATGCAATTCCTTGAAGTATGCTAGAAACAAAAATAACTGACCTGTTTATAGGTCAGAGTTTTGGGCACTGCTGGATAGCAGAACAAAGTGTGTCCTGAGTGTGAGTTCATTATGCAAATGATATGTGCCTGTTGGAAGTCTGGCTGTAGAATCATCCTTGTCTTTTTTTTCTTTCATTTCCTTAATTTTTTTAAATAATGCAATGAATAAATAGTCTTAATTACCACTTATAGGATTGGTATGCTTTTTAAAATACATTTAGACCTGTCTGTCACTCAGGGCAAAGTATAGTGTATAGAATTGTGCATATCAACCCTGATCCATGTGCAGGTGAGCTGATATGGATGGAGAAGTCATCATCAGTCTGGCTCCTTAAATTATTTAGCTGCTTTTTTAAAGCTTTTTTGTTTGTGCCTGTGCCTATTGCAACATTTAGAGGTTGCTTGGGATACAACCAGCTGCAGTTACTGAAAGTCTAGTCTACCAGCTGCTTGTTTTAAAACCAACCAACCAACCAACAAACATCCCTCCCAACAACAACCAGCCAAAGAAAAACCCAAACAAACAAAACCCACAAACAAAAAAAAACCCAAACAAAAACACACACACACACACAAAAACCCCCAACAAACCAAAACCTGTTACAAGTTTGTTAGATCAGAAAGAATTATTGTGGAGTAGAGTCTTAAAAGTTGTTTTCTTTGGACATGTCAAGTTTGGTTTGTTGAACTAGATTTTGTCCCACAGTTTTGATGTGGGACAAAGTTGCAACTTTTGGGCTGAGGGAGAATTTTGTTAATGCCATGAATGTTGCAGGACTCTCTGTAGAAGGCATTAGTTTTAGAATGAGGTGGGTCTACATTTAGGCTCTTTTTGTTTCTGGTAGTGCTGACACTTTTGATCCTGTTGTGGGTCAAGGAACTGATCTGACAGAAAACCTATATGCTTGTTCCTAAATTTTTGCTGGTGGCTGTTCAGCCAGACTGGGTTCCTCATTGTGACTGCTGTCACTCCCTAATTACTCATGTTAACAAAGCAGGGAGAACAGAATTGCATGGCTGGGACTTGGTAGGATTCCCCTTTTCAGTAGCATGCCAAATACAACCTGGTTATGGACATCTGAATTCCATGAGGAAGGAAAAGGAATTGTTAGTTTGTCATGGAATTTGGATGGCTAACCTGATTCTGAAGAAAAACGTGCTCTGCACTGGTTATTCTTGTGCTGTGTGCCAATCCCCACAAGACAGTTAGCATGGCTTTGCTTATTTAGGAACCTGCATCCTCACAATTCTTTCTCTAGCCTGCAGGAATACACAGCCTGTGTGTCTATAGAAAGTTCTGACTCTGTTTCTAACAGTGGAAGAGTTGGTGGGTCACTCAGCAGATACTGGTTTGGCTTTGTAGTAGAATAACAGTTGATGCTCCTTTTACTACTGCACTGGGTGCTTTGAGCCAGCACTACATTAACCACATGTTTGTGTTGATTTTAAACAGTTGCAAATGCTCAACTTGTTTGGGAATTAAACATCCTGACTGATCAAAAGTTGTTAGTGGGATGAAAATGATGCCCCTTTGATGCTGATTTGAAGTGTGCAACGTTCAGATATTCAAAAAAAACCCCACCTCAAACTACAAATTGCTTGATCAAAACCAAACTGATTGTTTCCAGGGAAGAATGCAAAAATTGTAATCACATGGATTGTACAAAGCTTTGAAACTCTTGGGGAATATGATGCTTTCTTCCTTCCAGGGCCATTTTTTTTTCTGCTTTGTGTGCTGTGAAGAAATTTGGGGTCTGAAGGAACAGGAAATGTTGTAATAGGTTGTATTTGATTCCAAATGGCTTCACTGATTTATCTTCACCATCACCATATTTTTCCATGTCTAGAAGTGTTCAAGGTCAGATTGGATGAGGCTTCCAGCTACATGGTGTAGTGGATGATATCCCTCCTCATTGGACTAGATGACCTTTAAAGGTCCCAACCCAAACCATTCTGAGATTCCTTCTCATTGGAGAGAGTATAAATGATTACTTGACTTTTCCTGCCTTCCTTCTCAGAGTTTTGTATGTTTCCCTTTGACCTGGCCCTGCTGTTCATCACTAATCACTTTGTTGATATTAAAAATCCTCAAAATTTATTACTAAGTAACATATATTGACACTTTCCCTGAACACCTGAATTTCAAACCAAGCCAAGTTTTTACTCAAATAAATCTGTTCACATTACAGGAATAATTTGGTCATTTTTAACATCTGATTTAGAAGAATAGCAAAAGAGAGGAAAGGGTACTTAGCTCTGAAGGTAGTGTCCAAAGTTGTTGGTGTGTGATCTGTTTGACTTGCTTCTGATGGCAGTAGTGTGGCTATTGATAGTCAGGCACAGCTAAGGAGGAGAAATTCCTTTTTATTTCAGTGCTTTTTAAGATGTTTAAGACTTGCTGTTAGCTTCAGTGAAAAGCTTTCTTGTTTTATTGAAGTGTATTTCATATCAAGTAATTATTTTTTTCTAATTTGATAATAGGAACTTGGGTCTCATCCCTACGTCTGTCCATTTGATCAAATTGCTTCATGGAATACAAATCAAAGGAGAATTGTTATTGACTGGTAAGGCTATGGATTTTGTTAAATATATAGCCTGTGCTATTTTTTTATACATGAGAAGTCTTGTGGTAGTATGATTTCACCTTACTGAGGCATTTTTTTCATAAATAAACTTAATTGTTTGTTGAATTGCTTCTTTATGCTGATAAAAAAAAAATAATTCAATCTCAAGTCTAGTTCAGTTCTATTTTCCCTCAACTGTCCCCTGTAGATGGTTAAATGGAAGATATATGGAAACTAAAAGTAACCAGAATATCTGAATTGCAAAAAGGGAAAGTTCCCCTAATACCTCCATTCAAACTATATTCTGCTGTTTTGCTGTCTTTTTATTTAATCTGCAAACATGAAATGAAATACTCATTTTTTTATTTGGATGACACTTGAAATAGTTCATCTAATTTCAGGAAACAAATTTTGGCTGTGAGTTTTTAAAACCTGGGTTTTCATTTTCATTTCTGTACTGTGGTTGCTGGCCAGTCAGGGTAATATCTGCCAAGAACCAGGTACTCATCTGAGTAGTGTTCACATTTCCTTAATGGATGAGCTTTTTCTTTACATGCAGGGAAGAGAAAATCTGACTACAGATTCCTTCCACCTTAACAGCAGTTATTGTTAGTGGTTCCTACCAAAGTGATTTCACTGGATATTAAGGCATTTTCAGTAATTCTCTTCACAATCTGCATTTTCCTGTGTGTGCCTATGGGGCTTGATATAGAGGACTGGACACCAGTCTTTACTGTCTATGGTTGCTGAGAGTGGGGAACACTTGGTTTATTGCTGCTTTTATTTCTTTTCACTAGCATTGCTTGCATGAGGTTTTCACTGGGTTCCTGTTGCTGCTTTTCTATCATTTTATGAAAGCAAGTGGAATTTCTGTCATACAGCAAACTATCCTCAAACACCTTTATGAAGGTGGGAAAGAGCAGTGAAGTCCAGGATACCATTTTTCTTTTTGCTGCTGCATTTGGCTCAAAGTGAAGCCTTTCAACCATGTGACAGTATTATCCTTAAACCATGCTGACTCTTTCACCTGTTTCTGGAATCCTTCTTCCAGGGAAGGGTGGGTGATTCTAGCAACAGCCCTTCAGTGTGGGGGGACCAGGACTAAACCCTGAGGATGGCAAAAAGAGCTTGCCCAGTGACCACAAAGATGAGGAACTGGTAACACATAGGAGTGACTTTAAACTCATATCACAGGGTTGATCAGGGAGGACTGGGAGAAGGCATGGAGGCCAAGAATGTTCTCCCCCACAGTTGTGAACCCCCTCATAGACCAGTAAGAGAAAGAAAAGGGATGGGAACTGAAATGCTCTTTTCATCCAGCCTGGTGTCCCTGCTAGGGTCCTTGACAGCCATAGCCTCCAATGGCAGTCCTGAGGAAGTGGACTTTCCATCTTCAGCTTATTCATAGCATCAGGAATTGAGGTATGAGAACACCATCTTTCAGGGGTGCCTCCCAGGATCTGCAGGAGAGCAAGCAGAAGGTACCCCTTGATGGTTACATGCATGGCCTGAGGTTTCCCCTTTAGTCCTGTGGTTGCTGACCCCTCCTTGATAGGGCACCCTGTGCCTGTGTCCTGTTCTCCTGCTGCTGGGAACTGAAGCAGTGAAGTTTCTTCACTGGGGGAGTGAAGGAGGGGGTGGAATCCAGTAGTTCCATTAGTTGTTTCAGACTTCCTAGCCAGAGGATATTGTAAAATACCTTTTTATCACCATTGAAAATGAAGGGGGATGTTGATCAGAAAGTTTTCAACAGTATTTTGATATGTTTTGTGAGTCTTATTCAACTTGTTCCACAAGTGATATTGAATAGCAAGTAGAATTTGATGTATTGACCAGGATAGATGATTGGTTGGCTGCATATAGTACTGATCCCTTTGGGAAATAACCTGTGAGGAGCATGACTTGGGTATTCCAGTTACAAAACAGCTTTCTGAAGAAGCCAGTGTTGCTAATTCCTTGCTGAGTGTTCTGAGGATCTTTTGTTCTAAGTGAAAATAAACTCTGTGCCTAGAGCACCAGCTCCTTCTACAGGGCACACATTAGGAGCTAACAGTTGAGCTGTGAATTATTAGCCATATTTTCAGAAGCAAGGCAAATTGCTGAGCTGGACTTGGACACTGTTGAAACAAAGGAAACCCATGAAATTAGTAAATGTTACTGTGTTCACTAACTATATCTCTGCTTCATGATTCTCCTTTTATTTCCTGCAGGCAATCCAGTCTCAGGGCTATTTATCCATTTTACCCAGTCACTTTCATCCATTGGTAACTGTTAAGACTGGCAAGGCTGAGTGGTGTGGTAATTTTTGTAGAAAAGTTCAATGTAGTACAAATTCTAAAAGGTAAAACCAGAGATGAAATAAAATCTACATTCTCTGCCTGCTACTGTAACCAGTGTGGTGGTTCTGAGGGAGGAGATGAGCTGCCTGCTCCAACAGTATATAAGTGATCAAAAAAGAAGGTGCTGTGCAAAGTGCTGTGATTAAAAAGCTGTTGCTAAGGCTCATTCAATTAAATCCAGACTCCTTTGCATCTTCTTTGCTAGGAGAAATACTTTTTTTTCCACAGTTTATCTTAGGCCCAGGTGCTACATACGTTGTTTGGCTCCTCACTTCAGTGTGTTTACTGAAATACCTCTACTGCAAGTTTTCAGCATATGTCTTTTTTTTTTTTAGTGCTATAAAAAATGAGATAAATTCCCATATGCTTGTAATGTACTTGTCCTAGCCAGCTTTAGAAAAAGCAGTTGTTTTGGGCCAGAAAACCTGATGGTGAGGCTGCCCTGGAATAGCTCTTTAAGGCTTCAGATAGACACAAAAATAACTAGTTCATTCAGACATGTGGCATATAAAGATTGGCCAGACCCACCTGCAAGCCAGCCATCCCTGTGATAATAATCTTTATTTCTAATACTTTTATTAAAACACTTTAATAAAAGTAACATTTTTAGGTTTTTCCCATTTGGTGTTGCTGCAGATAACTGTTTGTCTGTACCCTTCCTCCCTTCTTGCTCCCTGAGTTGGATTCCATACCCTGTTTTCTCTCCTCCTAATTGCTTACAATGCAATCTAGTAATTTATCTGGAGCAATTTGTATTCTGTAGTGTTTAGAGAAGGGAACCTGCTCTGAAGAGTTGCACAGAGGAAGCCAACAGCTAGATGGGATCAGGGGGCTGGTGGGCAATGCTGCTTAACAAAGTGTTTAACAATCTGCAGCCCTTCTGGGCAGGGTCAGGGGTGGTTTGTGTCAGGTAAGTCACACATGCTTGTGAGCCTGCTCTCTTTCCTTATTACTCTAGCAGCTCTCCCTCCTCTGTAAGAGAGAACTTCCCAGTCAAGTGAAGAAAAATTCAAGTGATACACTTCTTGGACACTCTCTGCAAACTGGGCTTCATCTCAGTGTTCTTAAAACTATACACACTGAAAGTCTGGGAAGTGAGTGATTGTTTAAGTACTTCACCTTTTAGTTTCAGGAGCTTGGATATTCCTGATGAGAAGACAGAGAAGATGACAAATGTTGTGCCCATCTCCCTAGCTTGTAATTAATTTGAATAGGGAGTGATAATGCAGGAATTGTACCTACTCATGTGGAAATGTTGCATGCAATAAGGTCAATTACATTTCTTATTAATTGATTTGAGACTACAGTCTTCCAACAAACAGCTAAGAAGCTGCTCAAAGTTTTGAGTCTCAGGGAAAAAAATATATTCTCTACAGAATATAGATTTCATGGATTTTTCCTAGTACCCTCTCTTCATTCCTTTTGGTTTAGTTATTTTTTTAATTAAAAAAAAAAAAGCCTCAGCATAGCAAGGTGGGTTTTTTTTTTTTTTATTTTCTGCTGTGGGTACCAAGAACACTTGCCAGCTGATGAAGCTGCCAGATGAACTTTAACTGAACTTCAGGCAGACTCAGATCTCTTTAAGAGGTAAGAAGGAGTTCAGTATATTAGGTTTTCAGTAGACATAGGAAATACACTTGTCAGAAGCCCAGGTAGAAAACCTCTTTCACTTCATAGCATGTGTCTTGGTTTGGTTGTGGGGTTGTTGGCTTGGTTTGGGTTTGGTTTTTTTCCCCTTCCTTTTTCCTGTGGCAAATCTTAAGCTTTCCAGCAGCATCTAGCAGACCTTTAGGAAGGTACTTTGAGGTTTTTCAAGATGATGGATCTATAGATTCCAGAGTGTAAGATCTGGATTTTAGGGTTCATTTCTGAAATCTGGAAAAAAAAGGGGGTAGCTTTGTTTCTCCTTAATCAATGGCAGTGAGGGCATGCCTGCTTTGAAGCAAGCTTATGTTCAGGTTGTGTCCCATTTGATCCTTTGATTGATTCCCACCCCCCACCACATCCTGGACAGAAGAAACTTTAATCTTTTTTGTTTGTAAATAGATCTTCTCAAACCTTTCACCGCTTCAAAATATTACTGCTGCCGAAGCACGTGCTTCAAATTCCAACATAATTGCTTGAAAACTGTTTATCTGCCAAAATACTTTTCTCTCCTCGAGGATGAAAAGGCCCTGGATGCCTGATAGCTGCCCTGCCTGGGACAATTTGTTGTGCAAGCTCTCTGAATGAGTTGATTGTCCTCTCTGAGCAGAGCTGAGCACAACTGCACCAGCCCAGCTGCATGTGCGTGCCTGAGAGAGGTGCTCTGAGCATCCTGCCAGCATCCCTCAGTTTCAGGCTGCTGGGGAGACTTCAGCTAGCACTGGCATGCTGTGCTGATGACATCCCTTCTGAGTGTTCAGGGGTTTTAAACAACCAGGGTAATCTGCATAAAAATGTGTTAATGGCAGGATGTTAACAGGGTAGGTTCATGTTATAAGTACTCCTGGAGATCTCTGTCAAAATAGAGGTCTAGATCTGCTAGCTGTTATACAAAGGCTTAGGCTGTTTCCTTCTCATAGTGTTATGGACTCCAGAAATTTGGGTAAATTGTAGTAGAGTGTGAGCTGGAATCCTTGACCAGGCATTTGACCATGCTTCCAGTTGTCTGGAAAGTTA